GGAAAGACATCTCTTAATGCCAGAGATTTGTGAAAAGGAAACAAAATGTTTATTTAATGCTATTCAGGCCTAATGCCACCACTAAAATATCAAAGTCCTTTAGGTTGTACACCCACACAGCGCTCCCTTCTCCCACTGTCCCAACTCCGGGTACCGTAAATCAGGAAAAGAGCACACGTCTGTATTGCAGGCCTCTGGCACCATCAGCTGTGTCACCATGCAGGCAGGATCTCGAGTTAATCCAAAGTACTGTGGTACCCTCTCATGGTCCACTGGCAAGAGTCCTTTGTACCCAGTTCCAGTCAAAGTCTCTGCTGCTTTTCAGGCCCTACGGCCAAAGGGGGCCCTTCATGTCTCGGAGCCAGTCCTTTCCAAGCTCTCACACAGGCCTTCTCACTCAGGAGTCCCTCGTTACCTTCCTGAGTCCAAACCCTTCTCACTCAGGAGTGCAGACTTTAGTTACATCCTCCTGAGTCCAAGCCTTTCTCACTCAGGAGTGTAGACCTTAGTTACATCCTCCTGAGTCCCCCAAGTTCCATCCTGAGTCCCTGCTCACTACCTTCTCCCTGGCTCCAAACTTGGCCACTCCTATTTAACATATCTATGAAACCAGTTAAAGGTTATAGATATGTTAAATAACCATTCCTCCAGAGGTTAGCTCCAAAACTATTGCTATGCAAAATAGCTCTCAATGGCCTGGCTCCATTCATCCCTTCCCCCTGGGGGGGGGGGGCCGTGAGGACATCTTATATGTCTCTCCAATATTTCCCATACACTTTGAATTCTGGACACCATTCCAAATCCTTTTTGGGGGGCCCCCCTTGGCTGCACCCTGTATCATTACCACTTATCACACACTCGGTTCTGAATGCTTTACCAGTGTCAGCTAATTTAATCCTCATAACAACCTCATGCAGTTGCTACTATTATCCCCATTCTACAGTTGAGGAAACCGAGGCACTGAGATTAAGAAAGTGCCCTAGCTAATAAGTGGTCAGTACAGAATCTGAACCCACTGGGCTCCAGACCCAACCCTCTGAAACACGTGGGACTTCGGCTTTACTTACAAGGCACTGAGCTATGGGAAAAGTGCAAAGGTCAGTGAGATGCAGCGCCTGTTCACGGAGGTAAGACATGGCCTCAGGTTATCAGAAGGTAGAAGACAGCGAGTAAAGTAACAGGAAGAAAGGCGCAGGGAAAGCCTCGGCAGGGCATTCCACGTACAAGGGGAGGGCAGCACAGGGTGGGGGTGGGGGAGCGGAGTGGGGTGTCTCCGGCGGGTCACAGGATGCACTGCCAGGCACAAGGGAGAGATGAGTTGAATCCTCTGCCCACTATCCACTCCACTTGCGGAATTTTCCCGTGTATTAGCTGTCTATTGTTCCCTAAGCAAATACTGTAAATTGGAAGCTTAAAAAGAAAGGTGTTTTTTTTTTTTTTTTTTTAACTCACAGCTTCTGTGGGTCGGGAATTCAGGAGCAACTAAGCTGAGCGATTCTGGTTCAGTGTGTCTCATGAGATTTCACACCGGATGCCAGCCGGGCCTGCAGTCCTCCGAAGGCTCTGCCTGGGGCTGGAGGACCCACTTCCAAGCCGGCTGACTCACACGACTATTGGAAGATCTCATTTTCTTGCCACCTGGGCTTTTCCACTTTCTCAGGAAGTAAAATATCTTCTCAGAAGCCATCCTTTGACTTCAGTGGCCAGAATGAGGTTACCTGGCCACCCCTAGGGGAGAAGCTGAGAGAGTGTTTGACTTTCCAGCTCCCGCAAGGAAAGCAAGGGAGAAGGGAGGCTGGGGCTGGCTGCTGGGTTGGCATCACCTGGGACTACCCATCATGGCCAGGGGCAGGGAGGGCTCTAATTGGTAGGGTCAGGTCCATCACACCCACTTGAACCCATGAACCAAGTAGGATTTGGGGGGCAAAGGAGCAGAGGGTTTGCTCAAAGCAAGGGTGTATTAGGAAATACAAAAACATTCAGCCACCCAAGAGGTGCAAAATGTCCCACCGAATGGATAAACTCATAATTCTTTGAACTAGGAAGTCAACTTTAGTTCTAAAATCAGAGGACGGGAAGGTGAGTGCAGGTGATGGCTGAAACCCAGGTGTTGGGGGCTGGGATAAGCCTGAAACAGGCTGATACAATCAGACCTGAGAGATACGCCTTGAATGGCAGGATGTTGCAGTCAGGAGCCATAAACCCCCCCCCCCGACATGCAGGTAGCACACCAATCAGTGCCTTGATCACGCGCCCGCCATGCACCCCCCGGCCAATCGCAGGCTAGAGCACGCCTTGAAGCCCCCTATCCACTGCGTTTCCTCTACTACCCTCCTCTATATAACTCCCTCCATTTTGAAATAAAATTTGCAGCTTGATCAGAATCTTTTGTCTTGCTGCCATTCTTCGCGCCTCCTGTCCCATCCCCCTTCATCCGTTACAGGTATATCGGCGGACCCCGTTGACTGCCTCGCGGACCGAGGCAACTGGCGCCCAACGTGCGGCCCCGCTGATCGCCTGTGCGGACCGCTGTCCCCTTCGATCGCAGCGTTTCGCCCGGCTCACGCGGCTACTCGGCCGCGCGCCCGCATTCCCAGAGGACCCCCGTTCCCCGACAGCGGCATTTCAAAGGTAAGACGCAGCCATGGGACAGGCATGCTCACAACATGATTTGTTCGTTGCTCAATTAAAAGAGTCTCTCAAGGTGCGCAAGATAAGAGTTCATAAAAAAGATTTGAATTCCTTTTTCACTTTCGTTTTTAAAATCTGCCCATGGTTTCCTCAGGAGGGTAGCATTGACTCCCGCGTCTGGCGCCGTGTAGGCGACTGTCTAAATGACTATTATAAGGTTTTTGGCCCCGAGACTATCCCTATAACTGCCTTTAACTATTATAACCTCATAACAGACATCCTTAAAAACCACAATCATTCCCCTGACATACAGCGCCTTTGCAAAGAGGGGCAAGAAATTCTCCGCAGTCACTCCCCGGCCCCCTCCAAAGCCCCCTCAGTCCACGGCCTTCCCGACGTTCGTGCTGACTCGCTTTCGCGACCTCCCTCACGAGCGCCTTCAAACTGCCCTTCTGTCTCCATCCGAATAGATACAGACCCTCAAGTCCCTTCTCTGTACCCTCCCCTTCAGGAGTTCTGTTCCTCTGCTCCGCCCCCCAATTCCCAGGACCCCGGCGACAAGTTAAACCCCTCTGAACAGGCAGAGTTAGAGGACGAGGCCGCTCGCTACAATAATCCTGACTGGCCACCGCTCGTGGCGGCAGTCCTTCCGCCATTCAAACCGCCTCCTTATAGTACCTCTCACGCACCCGCCGCCGCCATTTCGCCTTCAGCGCATGGCGCGCCCGCCATTCCGCCCGCGGCGTGCAAGGCACCCCCTATGCCTCTAGCTGTCTCCACCAACATATCAGCCCTGAATATCACCGAACAAAACTGCACCCTCAGCATACCCTTTAGAGTTCAGCCTATGCTCTTTGACTCCTCCCCTTGTATCTATAAAGGTTCACAAAATAATTCTTTTGATATTTCTGTTGGTTTCGCTAGTTTTACCAATTGTAGCCACACGCTTAATTACAGCACATCCCTCTGCCCTGGCCCAGGGCGAGCATTCGTATGTGGTAATAACCTAGCTTTCACCGCCCTGCCCTGCCAGACCCCGTTGACTGCCTCTCGGGCAGAGGCACCCAGGCACCAGGTGGGAGGGGTGTGAAGGTCAGGGAGAGAGCATTCCAGGGTTACAGAAAGGACAGGAAGAGGAAGAGGTAATCGCGGCTACCCAGGAATGCCAAACTATGCTAATCTTTCACTTAATACTAATAGCCACATGAGGTTAGTTTTACTTAATTTTCACTAAATCCCTGTGTTCCAGAAAAGAAAATCGAGAGCTAGAGAAGTTGAGTCATTTTGCTTGAGTCACTCAAGCAGTGGAGACTGGCTAGGACAGTGTTCAGATCCAGGTCTTTCCGTTTAGACCTCAGGCTGATTCCAGAGCTTCCGGGCTTAACAGGGACACTGCCCTGGTTCTCTACGGAGAAGAAACAGACCCTCGTTAAGTCACATGAAGTCACTCCTCTGCAAAGATCTGAAGGCAGCTGCTGCATACCAGGCCCATGTTATCCCATGCGCTTGAAGATTGGAGTTGGAATCTCACTGTGAAACATCTGCAATCCTCCTGCTGAGCTGAGATTTCTGACCGAATTCAAAACAAACTGTACCAACACTGAGGCCAAAGGATACGCCCTCCGACCGTAGAGGGATTAGCTCCACCGCCTGTCTCATCCGGGTCTCACCAGACTAAACGAACCTTCCCGAAGCTGGTCTGGAGCTGCAGCTGGGCCAAGGGGAGGGGTGACCCCGGGGGCTGTGCGCACAGGGGAGTCGCGGGAACGGGAGAGCGGGAATGGGAGAACGAGGCTGCCTAGCTGGTGGTGGGTGGCGTGGGTGGTGCGTTCCCGCTGCTGTAAAATGTAAGTTATGTTCAAGGAAAAACATTTAGAATGTAATCTAAACTATTTACCTTGAGGTGGAGAGACCAGGGACCTATTTTTTCTCCAGTATGAGCTTTAAAAAAAACAGAAAAGAACGAAGTATATTTAAAACAATACAATAGTTGTAATATCGAGGTAAAATAAGTGGCATCTTAAAAAAAAACAAACAAAAAAACAAAGAAACTGGAGGCAAAGCCAGGCCCAACCCCGGGAGACTCTAAGGCAGGGATTCTGCTCCTCCTTCCTGCCCCCGGCCCCCAGCACTAAAACCCAGCTCTAGCCCCCGGGCCCTGGTACTGCATTCCTGGGAGCGACGCGAGCCTCCAAGTCTCCACCCTCCTGAGCAAAATAACGTCTCCATGGCCCTCGGGCTGCGCGCCCCAGGCCTGCACTAGAGGGGGGCGGGGGGCGCCCAGGGGGTCGAAGGCAGCCGGCTAGGAGGGGCCTGACCCGAGTCCACCCGGCGGAGTCGGCCCCGTGGGCGGTGCCTGGCACCGCGTGACCCGCGGCCCCGTGACCCGCGCGGGGCGGGCCAGGCCAGCCTGCGCTGTTGCTGCCGCAGCGGGAGGTGTCTGCGTAAGTGGGGAGCCCGGCTACCGAAGACCCTCTTCGCGGGCAGGCGCGGGCGGGGTCCGGGTGCTGCCCTAGCCTCCAACACCCCAGGACTGGTACCCCGGTGATCCGCTGGGACCCCACCCCCAGATAGGGCCGGAGGGGCGATGGAAGCACCCCCGCATCCCACCCACCGCCAGTTCGGTCACTTCCGCCCGGGCCTTCCCACTCTGAGCGCAGTGCGGGGGAGCAAACACCCTCCCTTCAGGAGCGATTACCTTACCTCTCATGCACTTTGGGGGAAACTGAAGCTGCACAAGCGAGGCCGGCTGGCGGCAGCACACCTCTCCCATACGGAGAGAAAACATCTCCAGCAAAGCACATGGCCTCCCACCTGCCCTAGTGGCCCACCATAAACCCTCGGCTCCTCTGTAGCTTGAGCTCCTGCGTGGACAGTATCCAGCGGGTGGGGCTGGAGGGGTAAGGAAGAGGGGGATGGGCCGAGCTACAAGATCGTGGCCAAAGTATTGAATACTGTGGTTACATGCATTCTGTCTCTTAATGCTCACTGTCGTGAAATTTGTTAGGCAGGTGCTTTTGTCCCCTTTTTCCCATAAGAGAACTCAGTCTCAGAGAACTTGGGTCCTTAGACCAAGATCCTGCAGTAGGTAAATGAAGGAATCGAGATTAGACCCGGGTCTGTGCCGCAGCGGCACCTCCTGGTGGGGTGGAGACACTGGGCCCAGCTGTCAGTTCCTCTGTGAACTGGAAGTTAGTGCCTTCCTCCCCTCCATCCCTTTCTCCCCACCGTTACCGCTGAGACCGTTTGTCACCTGCCGCCTGCAGGTCGAAATGAAGCTTATTATCCTGGACCACTATTCTCAGGCCAGCGAGTGGGCCGCCAAATACATCAGGAACCGCATTATCCAGTTTAACCCAGGACCAGACAAGTACTTCACCCTGGGGCTCCCCACTGGTGCGTTGTGGGATGGAGAGGGTGCCATGGTTTGGAGGTGGGGGGGAGAGTAGGTATTAAGGGATTTCAGGGGGCCAGTAGGTGGGCTCGCTCAGCCAGGGGACTGGAAGGAGGAGGGCTCTGAGTTACTGGTGCTGTGAGTGGACAAGCCCCCTGCCTCCGGGACGTGTAAAACGGGGGCCCAGCTTCCCTTATGAGCTGGCTCAGATACTGCCTGCTCTGCAGACTGCCGGAGCAGGAAGAACTTGACTGTTGGCTACTTCCTAAGTAGCCCTGGTAGGCGTGGGCTCCTTAGCACGATTAAGTCCCAGTGCCTTTAGGCAAACGTTTAGCGTCATGACAAATTTCTCTCTGCGTCTGGAGTGCTGCCAGCAAGTCCCACTCTCCTTGGGGCATTGAGGAGATAGTCTCTCAAAGCATTTTCTGTGGGGCTTGGTTAAACACAGGACCTACGTGAAAACCGTCCCAGTTTCTTTGGGAAAAATCAGAATGTTGTCTTTATAGGAAGATATTTTGACTCCAGCTCCTCAAAGCAAATGTCCCAGCTCTTTCTTTCAGAAGTGGGGTGGGTTTGTCCCAAAGGCCCAGCCGCTAGAGCAGGGGTCTTCAAGTCTTTTCTGTGGGTGGCCAAATAGTAAATAATTCACACTCCACTGGCCATACAGCCTGTGTAGCAGCAACTTAACTGTGTCCTTATAGCTCACAAGCAGCCATAGGCAACCCATAAGTGGATGAGCATTGATCAAAATCTTATGGACACTGACGTTTTAGTCTGCATAATTTTCATGTCACAAAATAATCTTTTAAAAAAGATTTTGTTTCTTTTTAGAGAGGTGAAGGGAGGGATACAAGGAGAGAAACATCCATTTCTTTCTTGTGCACCCCCTACTGGGAGCCCACCGTGCATCCCAGGCATGTGCCCTCAGTGGGAATCAAACCGGCAACCCTTGGCTCACCTGCAGGCACTCAGTCCACTGAACCACGCCAGCCAGGGCAATATTCTCCTGATTTTTAAAAACCTTTAAAAATGTAAAAAAAAAAAAAAAAAAACCATCCTTCGCTCATGAGAGCTGTACAAAGACAGCAGCAGGCTGGATCTGTCCTGTGGGCTGAGTTTGCCAACCTCAGCACTGGAGGTTTGTGGGAGCGGTGTCTGCCAGCTCTTGTGAAACCACCAGTGCCTCGGGCCATGCTCGGGCTGCACGAGTGTCCTGTTTTCTCGCTGGGTCAGGGTGCGGGTCAGAGTCAGGGCTCCTGCTGAAGCCCTCCCTAGTTCCCGTGAACTGCAGGATCAGATCCGAGCTCCTCAGAGTGGCATTCAGGGCCTTCCACAGCCTGGCCCTTTCTGACTCACACACAAACCAGCATGCCATTTCCACACAGGTTCTTTGGAACCTTCCTTCTGTTCAATGAAGCTTTGGACAGCGTTTCTGGGTCCACAGAAACCAACTCTGGCTAACTGAAACGGAAAAGGAATTCATTGGCTAGATATTGGGGAGCTCAGAGAATTGAGGGGGAGGCTAGAGGTTTGGAAAAGGGACAAGACAGTAAATGAAGGAGCCCAGGGGAAGGACAGGGAAGCTGTGTGGCAAAGGCTGTTGTAGATGCTGGCGATATAGCAATGAACAAAAAAGACAAATTTCTGCTGTCCTGAAGCTTAAATTATAGTGGAGGAGAGCGATAATAAACAAGTTAATGAGCAAAGTATAGAGTCTGTTAAACGGTGATACGAGGGAAAAAAACCAGTGGACGAGGAAGGGGGTCAGGGAGGTGTCCTGGCAGGGACGGGGTTGCAGTGTGGACGTGCTGGCCAGGAAGACCTGAGAAAACTTTGAGTGGAGGCCTGAAGAGGTGAGATGTAGCCATGCAGACCCCTGAAGGAAGAACACTGCTGCCAAAGGAGTGTGCAAAGGCCCTGGGGTGGAATTGCTTGGAGTAGGATGAGTAAGGCAGGGAGAGGTAGCCAGGAACCGGGTTACGCAGAGCCTTTGTTAGGATTGGTTATTATTCCAAGGGAAATGAGAAGTTGTTGGTGGGTTACAGAAAGAGTCGTCTGGTTTGGGTGGGGGTCTTTCAACCTTTTTCTCTTAAAAATTTCAAATATTCAGGAAAACGGAAGGGGTAGCTAGTACTGTACTGTTGACTTAGATTCACCAATTATTAACATTTTTGTCACATTTGTATTCATTTCATCTGGTTTATGTTCTATCTACACACACATGAATTTTTTTCTGAATTAATTGAAAGTAAGTTCTAGACATCTTGACACTTTACTGCTAAATCCTTCAGCATCTATCTCCTCAGTTAAGGACATTTTCTTATCGAGCCACAATACCATTATCACACCTAAGAAAATTAAAAATCATCCCACAATGCAATATAATATACAGGCTGTATTAAACATTTTTTTGTAATTGTCCACATTTACCTTTTATAACAAAAAGTCCAATGTCCCATCTGGCCGCCTGCTAATCTTTAGTCTTGTAGTCTGCAGCGGTCCCTCGGTCTGTGTGTGTATGTGTGTGCCTGTATGTGTTTTATAACTTTTTAATGTGTTTTATGACTGACTTTAATAAGACTCATCCTGGAAGTTCGCTGCTCCCTGGGGACGTTTCCCTGAACCCTCAGGCAGCCTGTGCTTCTCCGTGGCACGGCTGACGTTACAGCTTCTCGTCCCCACTCCGAGCCCTTCCGGGGTGGCTGCTGGGCCTCCTGCTCCTCCGCGTCCCTGTCACGCACATAGTAGTTGCTCAGGGAGTGTCGTGTCAGTAATTGAGTCTGATGTGCACTCGAGCACTAATTACAGTCATTTCGGTCATCAGCGTGCTGCACACTGGGGATCTAGCAGTGAACGAAACAGACACAGCTCTGCCCCTCTGGAGCTTATGGTCTGCTGGGGACACAGGAGGGGTAAACAAGCAATCGATGCATGACAGGACTGGAGCATTTAGGGGGATCTCAGATGCGACTCATTCCCGGGTGCCCTCTGGGCTTCTGGGAGCTGGGGCTGGAGGGCATTCGTGGCTGTGGTCTCTTGTAGGGAGCACCCCACTTGGCTGCTACAAGAAGCTAATTGAGTATTATAAGAATGGAGACCTGTCCTTCAAATATGTGAAGACCTTCAACATGGATGAGTACGTGGGTGAGTCTTTCCCTTTCGATCCTTACCTGATTCCGGGAGAGTTTGTCCTCCTCCCCTCGCAGGCTGAGCCCTGGAGAGGAGCCCAGATGTCTCAGGAAACCTGTGACATTTGGCGATACCCATCTCTTCCAGTCTTTGGTTGACTTGGCTGTAAAATGGGGCTAACAGAACTGACCTCATAGGCCATAAACATTAAATGATAGAACAGATGTGGAAGCCCCGAGTTTAAAGCAAGCACTTAAAAAATATTCGGGCATTTTCTCCTCTGCCTCCTCCCCAGTTCCACGGCGTTTCTTTATAGAACAGGTGATGGGAAGCAGGATGGTGGCTGGGGTGTGTCCCCACGTCTGTGTCTAGACAGACGCTCTCCAGTGCTTACCCTCTAGTGCCCCTGCCTGTCAGGGACGTTGGGAGGGGAGTGAGACCGGTGTCCTTCCACTACTGGAAAATTCGCCGTGGTCTTCTGTTGCCTCCTTCTCTGACCCCCACCCCGTAATCTTTAATGGCTTCACTTGAAAAAAATTTTTTAATTTGTAGCAAAGTACACATAACGTGAAGTGTACCACCTTAACCATTTTTGTACAGTCGGTAGTGTTCAGCATGTGCAGTTGTTGCTGAACCACCGTCCACAACTGTGACCATTCTGTGGAATGGAACCTCAGCACCGTGGAGCACCAGCTCCCCACCTCCCGCCCCGCCGTCTCACTGTCTGCGTCGCACACTCTTGGCCTCACTGCACCGGGCTCATCTGGCATTTCATCTTTTTTTTTTCTTTTTTTTAATATTTTATTATTTATTTATCTTTAGAGGGGAAGGGGGGGAAGGAGAGAGGGAGAGAAGCATCAATGTATGGTTGCCTTTTTGTGCGTCCCCTGCTGGGAACTGGCCTGCAGGGAACTGGCCTGCAACCCAGGCATGTGCCCTGACTGGGCCGGCATCTCATCTTTTTGTGCCTGGCTTAGGGTCATTCAACATAACGTCCTTGAGGTGCATCCATGGTATAGCAGGTGTCAGAATTTCCTTCCTTTTTAAGGCTGACTATGAACATTCTCAATGTTATTAAACATTAAAGACTTACTGTAAACATTCTTTTTCTTCTTGGATGAAAAAAATCTCTTTTGAGAAGCCCTGAGATAATTCTGACACCTGGTGTTCGGGCCGGGGTCCAGGGTGAGCAGGTACCCCGGGGTGAGTGTGTGGTTTGGAGGTACAGGGTGAGGGGTGCGCCTGCTTGCTTTCCAGATGGGCCTCACCTCACCCACAGGTGCCCAGGCCGCCTGCAACAGCCCAGAGTAACCCTGGCCCCCAGCCTGTGGTCATTCCCTTGTGAAAAGGAGGTCAGAGCGAGGCCACTCCTCAGGCCTCTGGTGTGAAGCTGCTCAGGCCCAGTCCTGCAGTCATGGGTGGTGGCGGTGGCTAGACACTTAGGGGCATCAGTCCAGCCTGTCCCCAGGGGTGAGAGTCAGAGGGCTGGCGCCCAAGGCTCCCTGCCTGGCATTCCCCTGAGAGCATCTGTGGGGGTCCAGGGACATCCTGGCAGCCCCCTGGGGAGGAAGGCTGTGGTTTAGCCTGGGCAGGACTGAGCGTGGCCATGGCCCCACAGGTCTTCCTCAGGACCACCCAGAGAGCTACCACTCCTTTATGTGGAACAACTTCTTCAAGCACACAGACATCCACCCAGAAAACACCCACATTCTGGATGGGAACGCGGCCGACCTGCAGGCCGAGTGTGATGCCTTCGAAGAGAAGATCAAGGCTGCAGGCGGGATTGAGCTGTTTGTGGGAGGTGAGCTCGGCACTGCGGTGTCCAGGCCAGCCCCGGCCTGGTCGGCATGTGTGCCTATCTCGGGCGGCTGCTTCTCTCTGTGCCAGTGCCAGCACCAGGCCCTCGTTACCCTGGGGAGGCGGGGAGGCAGAGGGGCCCCCCAGCCTCCTGCCCTGGTTCTGCTCGGCAGCTGTGCGACCGTGGTACCTCCTCTCCTGCGCTTCAGTGCTATGTGTGTAAATGGAGGGCATTGACTTTGGGTTCTGCGGGTCTGTCTCCCAATCGTAAAGTTTTACAGCTCAGTCATGACAATTATCTAAACAGTTAAAAGCACAGGCTCATGTAGTTCCAGAAGATTCCATACTCAGCCCATGCACGCCATAGATAGCCAGGTGGACTCCAGGGAGTGTTTGTGATTCGCCCACGGTTAGCTGGCCAGAGTAGTGGGACAAGGCAGGCCCTTGCTCCCCCCTGGGCCGCCCTCTCATACTGCCGTCTGTTGCTAGCTCTGGGGCCACTCACAGGGCTGTGAAGCTGGACTCCTTTTTACTGCTCTGAGTTTACCTTTACTTAGGGATGGGGAGAGGCCAGGGACGCTCACGTTCTGAGACTGTGTAGACTTGGCAGCCCCTGTCCAGGCCGTGTGCGTGTGTGTGTGTGTTACTCGCTGTGACTCTGTCCGGGTAGCGGGACCTGACTATTGGCAGGAAAGAGAGGGAGGGTGTGCCTCAATGATCAGGGGAGGCGGAAGCTATTTGGAGTGCCCCTTGCTTAGCTTTTTGAGGATGGTAGCAAGTTCCCAATGGGCAGGAGGGGGTGGAGGGGAAAATCACGTGCTTTATGCACCTGCCCAGGAGTGAAGGAGGGCAGAGACAGGGTTTTCAGGGAGTTCTACAGACCCCGGGGGCGGGGGAGTGCCACCCTGGCAGCCATGGGTCCCTGACACTGACAGGGCTGCCCTGACCGTCTCTCCTGGGCAGGCATCGGCCCCGACGGACACATTGCCTTCAATGAGCCAGGCTCCAGTCTGGTGTCCAGGACCCGTGTGAAAACACTGGCCATGGACACCATCCTGGCCAACGCTCGGTTCTTCGATGGAGATCTCGCCAAGGTGCCCACCATGGCCCTGACGGTGGGCGTGGGCACTGTCATGGATGCCAGAGAGGTAAGGGCACAAGGGGTCCATAGGCCTTTGCTAGAGGGTTGACTGGTCTTTTTGTTCAAAACTTGTAACTGCGCAGGTACCCCCTAGACACACTTGTATTCAAAATCGAGATATAACTAGGAATAAGTCCTGACTGACCCTGCACAGTTTCTCCTTCCTCTTTGGCGTGAACTGCTGTTCCCAGTGTGAGGCGGCTCCTCTGGGCACCGGCAGCCTGGGAGACCGCAGGCGCTCTGGCCTCTGCCCGCGTACCCAGAGGGGCTTCTCCAGGCAGAGGGGCCCAGCGCCCCTGACAGCTGGGTGTGAGGGGCCCTCCGGGTCCAGGCAGTCGGCAGAGGGTGTTTGAAGGGAGCCCCGCCCGTGGCCCCAGGATGTTTGTGGTCATCGTGCTGCATTCAGGGATTCATAAATGTGGGAAAGTGGGATTGAAATCTAAGTGTCCTAAACTGAACTTAGCAAGATTTTCCCTAGAAAGTTGGGTAACATTTGAATTTTTTGTGGTTCCGTTTTTTCTTCCTGGGGTATATTTAGTGAGAAGCATGTTTTAGCTCTAAGCTGCTTTGCCCAAGTCTGTAAATAAACATCTAAGCCAGTGAAAAAGGTTCTGTCTCAAGTGAAATGTGTGATGGCGCCAGGTCTCTGCTGGGTCGCCTTAAACCAGAGCCTGGGGTGGGCACTGCTGGTCCTGGGCTTGTGGCTTATGAGCCCACCCTTGTGTTAGTGTGCCCGAACCCGAGAGAGCCGGGGCTGGAAATCAGGAAATTCTCTCTCTCCTCCAGAATTAGCTCTGGGGTCCTGAACAGAGTCATGGTCTCTCTATGCCTCCGTTCCTCAGCTTTTGAGAAAGGAGTAGTAAGTCCGGTTTGCAGCTCCGTGGTACAACTGAATTACAATGAAAGGAAATTCACAGAGCTGAGAGCTTTACAATCACCGGCTGCCACTAGCTTTCTTGGTATTGTAACTGTTGAAGAGAGCCTGTGCCCTTGTTTTAGTTAAACAAGAAGCATCACTCCAAGCCACATTAGCAGGTCTAATACTCGGAACTGAGAGTGACCAGGTTCAGGCACAGCCTTGTTGGGACTGGACCTTACTAACTCAGGTGACTCTCAGCAGCATCACATGGGACCCGTCTTTTGTTTGTGATGTGAAAGCTCGCCCAGCCTGGGCCCCCTAAGAACCCAGTGTCAGGACTGTTGGGGCGAGAGATGGGCCTGTGTGCAGCACATCTGTGCACAGGGACTCGCAGACACCACCAGTGGGGCCGGGAGGCGCGGTGGCCCGGAGGCAGGGACATGTGCTTAGGGTCTGAAATGAGCTGGGGCAAGTTACTTACCCCTGCCCCCCAACCCCAGCGCCTCTCCTTATCATAGACCAAGGGGGTAACGATGCCCCCCCCCCCAACTACCTGTGACAGCACAGGGCAGCCTGGAGCACAGTGTGCGCTGCACACGAGCTGCTCGCGACGGTATGAAGAACAGTGTAGTCCTTACAGCCCCGGCTGGAGGCGCCCCCTCCACCCCGGGCTTGTTCTCCGGCCCCAGGTGATGATCCTCATCACAGGCGCTCACAAGGCGTTCGCTCTGTACAAGGCCATCGAGGAGGGCGTGAACCACATGTGGACCGTGTCCGCCTTCCAGCAGCACCCCCGCACCGTGTTTGTGTGTGATGAGGATGCCACCCTGGAGCTGAAGGTGAAGACCGTCAAGTATTTCAAAGGTGAGGCGGGGGGGGGGGGGGGGGTCAGGGAGCAGGTGGCCCGGTTCAGGACGTGCGGCAGTGAGAGGTGGAGCTAGTGGTCGTGCTCTGGGCACGTTAATCATCGACTCTGGGTCTCATACAACGCAAACCCCATCTTGGAGTACAGTCCTGTCTCATCGTCCCTGCCCGTGTGGGCTGTTTCTGGAGAGCTGTTTGCTCGGAGGAGGAGGAAAGAAAACGTGAGCCTCGGGGCACCTGCCAGCTCGCACAGGCCTTTCCTGCGGGTCTTCTGTTCTTCCACCTAAACGGACACATGGCCTTAAGCAAACGTGTGCAAGAACCTCATTTCCTGAGCATAAAAATTTGGAATTTGTTCTTTGCTTGAAAGATTAACCTTTTCATGGTCATCCTAGAGGTGGCATTTACCGAGTCCTGGGGACCCTCCCCCTAGGCCGAGGGCGTTGGGTCGCTTGGGGCATGAAGGAGGGAAAATGACGCATGTCGGTTCTAGGACTAAGTCTGAGAGCTCCTGGACATGATGGCTGGTGGTCGTGGAACTCTGCCCTGACCTGCATTGACTACTTGTTTTCGATTCTGTTGTAGGTTTAATGCTTGTTCATAACAAGTTGGTGGACCCCTTGTACAGCATCAAAGAGAAGGAAACAGAGAAAAGCCAGTCTTCTAAGAAACCGTACAGCGATTAGCCTGCGCTAACCCTGCTGTCAGAGACCTCCTGAAGACAGACTTGGGTTTCTTCCACCCAGTGTGATTACTCCAGGTTAATGACTGAACTTACTGTTCCCGGGGGCATGGCGTGAGGTCCGGTGCTGGAGTTTAGCCACGGGAAAAGTGACTTGTTGTAACAATCAGGGAAAAAAATCTCTCCATAATTTTGATACCTGCTCCACAGAAATTAGGGGTTTTTAGTTTTTTGTTCTGCCTGACACTTCACACGTATCACACACTCCTGTCGGGAGTTCCTACCATCATGCAGAGATTCTCATTTCGGGGGAACAGGGACATGTGGTACTGGACAAAGCCTCTTTGGGGGGCTGGAGAGCCCCTCTTGAGCAGCCTCCCCCCCACTTGAGAGTCACTGTTGCAGGTGAGTGAACAAATCCTCAATGTCTACAGTCAGCATAAGGGGCAGTCCCTGGGTCAGCAACAAGCGCCAGGCAAGGAATTCGGTCACTTACCTCCTTTCCTCAGTTCTCTCTGTCAATTGGCCTTTCCGTGAACTCAGAGGACTCCTTGGGGGAGGATTTGGGAGGATAGGGCTAAGGAGAAGGCTTTGCTGATCAACTCAGAGCCTCAGGGGGCCCGGAGACGTCAAACGCCCTCCCTCAGGGACCCTCCAGCGCCGAGAGGAAGCCGGAGGCCCTTTTCCCACTGGAGCCCTGTGTTCTTGTCCCCAGGTCTCACAGTGGCTCCCCATCTTAGACCGATCGGTGTGAAAATCGCTGGGGCCATGGACACTGGCGCACTTCTAGTGTGGTGCTCGGCCAGGGGGACAGGGCCTGGGGCAAGCAGTGCCGTTATGAGTTTGGTCCCAACATGAGTGCCACATTCTCCTGCCTCCCTAGGGGCTGAGTGCCCAGACCACACACATGCTCCTGAAGTCCTTTCCCGCCTCAAACACCCTGCCCGGCCGGCCCCTTCCATCTGTGATTGTGCTGTCGTTGTATTCTAAGCTAATAGATCAATGTTTACAATGTGACATTTTCTATTAAATCCAGTATTTTCAAATGTGTCATTTGTGCACTTCCCTCACTGACAACCTCCCTACCTCCCCCCTCCAAAAAAAAAACCCAGAAGGCAGCCTGGGTTCAGACGTATTTGGGGAACAGCCGGTGGACACAGCCGCCCCCCGCCCCCGCTGCCCGCCAGCACTGCAGGACGCCTCGGTCGTAGTGGCTGTTGGTCTTTTTCATTTACTGGGGGAAAACCAAAATATTTCCTAAAAATGAAGCTCCTGTGTGAAAAATGACAGGAATGAACAGCAGTAAACTGCCATGGTCTAGTTGTACTTGGGAGCCAGACGAGGATACGGCTATTAGAAATAAGGCAGACCTGTGACCAGGAGGGATCTAGAAACTGCATGGCATGGAAAGTAGGTTTGGGTTTTGGGAGTTTTTTTAGTTAAAAATCAATATAATGGAACGTCTTGGGTCAGTATAACCAGTTGAAGTTGGGAGAAGGGTTTAATTTTATTACCAGTAATGCTGACATTTACACATGCTCATAAACTCGCCTCTTCTGATGTAAATTCAGTGCTTTGTATTAAGCTCACTGTGGGGTTGTGCGACTCCTCACCACAACCCATCTCTCCCCACAAAGCCCCTACTGCTACCCCAGCCCAGGCGACCCCCAGTGGGCTCGTTTATAGGCTTCCGTCTTCCGGACGTCTCACGTAAAGGGAGTCCCACGGCATGGCGTGTGGGGGCAGGCTTCCGCCCAGCATGTGTTTGAGGTTTCTATAACATGGACCAGTAGTCCGTTCCTTTTTATTGCTGAAGAGTATTCCATTATGTGAATATGCCGTCTTATTTATCCAGCAAAAAAGGGATTCATTTTAAGGAGGTATGTTATAGGAAAAGTTGTATTAGAATGAAATGAGAAAGGATTTAGTGACGACAGCCAAACTGGACATGTCTGCATGAACGCAAGACCTTAGAAAGGTCGGTTTCTGCCCTCTCCCCCCCCAACCATTCCCTACACCCGGATGCAACCATACATTGGTGTTTCTCTCCCTCTCTCCTTCCCTTCCCCTCTAAAGATAAATAAATAAAATATTAAAAAAAAAAAAAAAAAGAAAGGTCGGTTTCTCCTGGGCCTATGTTACCCTGGTGGCTCAACAGCTGTGTCTTCCTGCTACAACCAGCTCCCCTGTGGATCCTGGGCCAGCCTGGGCCTCTGACACCATGCAGAGCTCCTGAGACAGGGGCTCACCTTGTATTTTGAGCACGGATCACAGTGGGCCTGGAATGTCTTCTTGCCAGAAGATAAAGGTGCTTTAAAAAATGAGGCAGTATTGAGAGGACAAAGCAGCCTGTTCACTGCAGCTCCCACTGGCCAGGTTGTGACAAACTGATCAATAAAGAAATATTAAATAGAGCTAAGTAGAAGTTTAGTCTGAAACCTCAGGTCTGATACCCAAAAAGGAAAAAGATAATGGAGTTGTATTTCAGGAAGCGTGGATAGAATGTGTTTCAAGTTCCAGTGAGTGGCAGCATGTTGACGTCAATGTGTCATCTCTTCTATTAAATCTATTTATAAAGCAGAGGTGGATACAAGAGCCTGGCCCCCTCCCCCAGATGTCTCTAGGGCTCACTCCCTACCTTCCTCAGATCTCTGCTCAAACGCCAGGCATCGGACCATCCCTGGCCCTCCAACACTGAGCAGCAATCCCGATTCCCTCACCCCTCCCTGCTCTGCTTACTCAGAATCTTTCCACAGGGCATGATTTTGTTTCCCACTAAATGCAATCTTCATGAAAGCAGACTTTAAATACTGCTCTACCCTGTCCCTATCAGTGCTCTAGAAGGCACCCAAAACTAGAGATCATATGCAATAACAAGGGGGGGAAATAACATATTATATAATAATGGATTAGACAATTGGCCTACGGAGATCCAACTGCAAATTTGATGCCTCTTTCCTGGGAACCAAGACCCTCACTGTGATAGATGCTAGTGAAGCATGCGTAAGTTGCCAATAGGGTATCCTGTGACAGAATATCACAGGAGTGATGCTAAGTTATGTAACAATGTGTAGGTAAAACAGAACGCAGTGATCTGAACCTCCAGGAAGCCCTTAAAACCAGTGGGCAAGCACACCATATTACCCTAGTCCACTCCGTCTCCTAGAAGACGAATGCACATGGTCTCCAGCCTCCAACCCCTCCTCCCCCAGCCTGCTTCACAGCTGATGACCTTGAAAGCAGAAGCAGTCGGGAAAGAACAAGCTCCCGCCATCACACACACCAGCCAGCCCTGCCCCCATACTCTGCCTTCTTCCTGATACTTGCTCCTTGGCCAGTCCCTCCACTTGCACACTAGACGTCATCTTCTCTCGCCTCCTTGAAGGCCCAGCTCCAGCAAGACTCTCACCTGCAGCATCAAATTGTCCTTTCCTGGATCACTCCTATGAGTGTACAAAACAGGATTTAAAAACAAACCTCTACTCTGTTTGCCCCCTCCTGTAATAGCCTCATTTTCTGATCCCCTTTACTGCAAAATTTCAGGAGTTACAATATTCTGGCTCTAATCTTCCCATCCTACATATGGGAAGATTCCCAATACGCATAAGCTATACCTTCTGTAATTGTCTCACAGTTCCTGGATATTCTGTACCTCCCCCATCCCCACCATTCCTTTTTCTCTTTAAATTTCAGTTTGGGGTATTTCTAAGGAAAGCTCATTCTTTCCTTGATTGCATTCAGCCTACTAATGAGCCCATCAAAGGCATTCATTTCTTCCTATTACTTTTTTCCTAATGCTTTCTTTTAGCATTTCTTTTTGATTCTTGGAGTTTCTGTCTTTTGCTTATGTTAGTCATCTGATTTGGCATGTTGTCCCTCTTCCATCAGAGACCTTAGCATAGTCATCACAGTTACTTTAAATTCCTTGTCTGATAACCCTTAAACTCTCCGCCGTATCTGAGTCTGGTTCTGGTGCGTGCTTTGTTTCTGCAGACGGCTTTCCTGCCTCTTAGCATCCTTGTAATTTGTGCTGGAAGGCAGACCTGATGTATTGGGTAACAGGAACTGAGGTAAATAGGCCTTTGGTGTTGTTAGGTCAGAGTCGTTCAAGAAGCCAGACCCATACAGCGAGCTAAGGAACAGGGTTTACTGTGGGGGAAGGAGTGAGTGGAGCCAACCAAGGGAGGCTGGGGAGCCGACCAAGGGAGGGAGCTCCGTTGCCCTTGGGGTGGGGTTTTCAAGGGCAAAAGCCACAGGTGGGGTGACTGGGGTGTTAGCGTCTGATTGGTCATTCTGGGCTGCTGGGTCGAGGTGTTGGGATATCATTGGCTGGGGCTAGTCGCTGTGAGTGTTTCTGCTGACCACTGTGCTGTGTACCCCGTGTCGCCTCTGGGTACTGCTGCATCCCTTTGTGCCAGGCAAGCTGACCACAATCCTATCCATGCGTCTGTCTGTCCTGCGTGGGGTCGGCCTACCTGAGTCCGTCCAGAATGAGGGTTTACATTTATGTGGCTAGCATCTAGCCTGCGCTTAATGTCTACTGTAGGTGTCAGAAGCTTCAGTTGGCTTGTTTTTATCTCTACTGTTGTCTTTGGGTTTCCCTAGAAACTCCGTATAACAGTCTGTTCTACAGCTCTCTCAAGAGCTGTGATCTGCTGTTATCATCCTGGAGCCTTACTGATGGTACAGTATGAGGCAGAAGCAGCATTCGATAATCTTATGGTTAAATCTGTTTGGGGGGTTTGTTACTGTATTTAGTGGGCTCAAGGCCCTGGGATGAGACCTTCAAAGCCTTTTGGCCTTTTCCCCCTCTTATGTGAGACAGGAAGGCTGGAGGGGACTCAAGCCACCCCATTGCCCTTCCTATTGGTCACAGAAGGCTCCAGCCCTGAGGGCAGCCTTCTGCCATGGAAACAAACTTTGAGGGTATTTCAAAATGGCTACATGGGAATTTCCACCATCTTTACAGTGAGAACCTGGGGAACTTATGGAGGTAAAACCCGCTAAGGTATAGGGGACCCCTAAAACTAGTTCCCAGGAGTTTTAACTCTCAGGCTAGTCCATACTCAGCCTCCAGCAATTCGTTTAAATCCTAATGGCTCCAGCAGCCTCTGCTTTACACCATCTAATCTGTGATTTTCTGCAATTTCCTGTCTCTAGTTTTTGTGGTGGTCTGTAACCTCAGTTCTCTGATGGATCTAAGGAAAGTTGATTTTCACTTGACTTCCGGCCAAGATGGAGGTATAGGTGGAAACACTGGGCCTCCTCACACAACCAAGTTTAAAGACAACAAAGTTTTAATAACAAAAACACAACCAAAACACAGAAAACTGAACTATACGGAAGTCTGACAACAACAAATCATTCAGCCAGACTGGTAAGAGGAGCAGAGCCAGCGACTGGCGGGGCAGGGTTGTGCAGGAAAACTCAGCCAGACTAACCCAGGTGCACGGGTGGTGGCTGGCAAATCCCAGGCATGGGGTGGCAATGGGCAGACCCAGTGGGGGGGCGCAAGGCGGCAGGCTGACCACAGTCACACATTCGAGCACAGATAAACCAGGCGAAGGAAAGAGCAGTGAGATGGACCACGCAGGCCCCAGCAGCAGGAAACAGCAGAGGGGACTGCTACTGCCCCTCTTTGAACCTGCCCCCACATACAGCGTTACAACCCAGCAACTGAGTTGCCCCACCCTGGTGAACACCTAGGGCTCTGCCCCTCAAACCTAACAGGTGCAAACAAACCAAAACATGGCTCAAGAAGAACTCAAAGCCCCAGAGCCAATAACTCTAAGCAACCAAGAAATAGCCAACCTATCAGATGCACAGTTCAAAACCCTGGTGATCAGGATGCTCACAGAACTGGTTGATTTTAGTCACAAATTAGAGGAATATATGAAGGCTAAACTAATTGAAATAAAGGGAAATGCACAGGAAACCAATAGTGATGGAAAGGAAACTGGGACTCAAATCAAGGGAGTAGATCAGAAGGAAGAAAAAAATGACCACACAGGAAGGATGAAGAAACAAGAATTCAAAAAAATGAGGAGAGG